TCCATTAACTGGATCCCCACCGACTGTGAAAGGAGCTGTGAGTGACAGCCAGATAGAGACACCTGCATTCAGGACACTTGAGTTGGATCCCACCCAGACATGTCAGCACTTAGTCATCCCAGTTGTGCTGACCATGGGCAGAAGAGTTGGTTTTGGATAGAGCATTGACTGCGAGATACTTAGGGAAATGGCTTGGAATTGGGTGTCAGCACCCAACAGGAGCAGTGCCAGAGTGGACTAGGGTTGCTAGGTGTTTCTGGGCCACAAACAAGCAAATGGCCCCTTCTCCCTCTTTGAAGGACGCTGGGGTCCCCGGGGTCGTGGGCGACCTGTGACACAATAAGCAGCATTACAGCAGTCTGGATTCCAGTGGGGCGGGGCCCCCACCCTCCTGGTCCTGTGCCCACCAGTGGGGCTGCAGCTACGGACGGGGCTGGTATCCTTTCCCGTCTGGTGAAAGCCCATTGCTTTTGCTCTTCTGACCAGCTTCCCCTTAACACCCCCTGTCCTCAGGACGCTGGGGCTGCTCAGGATCAGGAGTAGATTTATCAGGCTTTAATGGAATGACAGGAAGAAGACTTTGCTCTGCAGGTAGGTGTGGTTATGAGAGAAAAGGAGGCTGGGAAACACCAAGTGGGGGGGCAGGCAGCAGACAGGAAATTAGGGCCCTCCATGCCTTGCTACATTTAATATACCTGCCTGGCCACCTGCCATATAAGGACCCACTGGAGTTGTAGGGAGGGAGACCTTCCCTTGGGAACTGAAGGTGAGAAAGTTAAATGCCAGAGATAAGGGAAGTGTAGAAGTAAAAGGCATCCAACACCTTCCCCCTGCCCCCACTCCTGGCAAGTGGGTCATTTCATTGCTCAGGTATGTATGGCATTCAGAGCCTCTGGTACTGCCTAGAGCAAGCTGACTCCCAAGGGTAACCGTAATATGCCAGTGTGGGTGCACATGGCAGGAGCACACAGGGTTCAGCTCCAAAGTTTTGGCATGGTTCTCCCTCGGGCAGGAACCCAAGCTGGACACTGCAGGGAGGAGCAGAGGGGAGATCAGGGGTTTGGACCAGTCTGCAAGGACTGAGTTGAGCATCTTCGATTCTCTTCCCTCCCTCCTGCTGATGCCTCAGCTTTGGGGTATGTCTGAGCAAGGGTCTCCTCACTGGAGCGTGGCGGGGGGGGTGTTGCTGGAGGCAGTGCTGGCTTTAGCAGAGGCGGTTAGGTGAGGATGTGACACGAGTGAGCTTGTAGTGCCAATACGTAGCTTCCTTTAATGAGGGCAGGGACTTTTCAGGGCCTGCACATTCGATCAGGCTGGATAGGATTTACAGCACAGTGTGTACACACACCAGCATAGTGAGCACAGCGTAGAAAACACGGTCCCAGTGCTGTGTGCTCAGTTCCAGTGCAGCGTAGTACTTCCAAATCCACCCATGTAGAAGAGGGTGTATTTGTGGCATCTACCTGTATTTGGGTGGAAGCCAGCTTACCCATGCATTGCCAGTATGGCTTGCAGAAGTGCAAAGGCTCTTTGAATTAGCTGGAAGCACAGGTGATACGTTTCACTGGAAAGGGCGAGGAAATCTCTTGGGTCCCATCCAGCTTTGTTAAGAGCAATGAAATTGCAGCAGGGATGACTTTGGCCCATTGCACTCCAGTGACATAGTTCAGAGTTGTAAAACCCTCGGCTCAAGCGTGCAGGGGTGGGGTGAGATCAGCTTGCTCTCCTGAAGTGCGCTGTAGGCTCTGCCAGGTAAACCTGGTGGTTTTGCCAGCTCCTCTACATATGAATGAGTCTATGAGGGCTTTGCAATGAGCTTGACACATGGATAACCACATAATTAAAGGCTGAAACTTTATAGAAGAGCATTAGCGCTGGTATCTTTAACCACAAAGAGCAGAACTTGAGTCATCAAATGCCAGGGGATGAATTTCCTAGCGGATTGCTCCATCAGTTTGCTGAATTATTGGGCCTGGATCCAGTGGGATGCTGCATCAGACATGAACCAGGAGGGGAAGAAACCTGGCAAGTGGTGATTGTCTGAGTTAGAGGTCCTGTTAGCTTGGAGGACCCAGACTTGTAAAAACGGCTCTACAAAACTAGAACTAAACCAAAGGTTAGGTGAGGGCTGAGTCACTTTACCAAGACAGTAATAGTATGCCTGGCAGTTTCCATTTTAGGCTCACAGTCCACTGAATAAGAGGCAACATCACTTAGATTTCTAGGGCTATAGCCCAAATTATTCTCAGCTAATTAAAGATACTGTCCCAGAGTAAAATGCAATACTTCTCAGGCTGTTGAGCTTAAAGGAGACTGGAGTGAGCATGTCTAAGGTGGGCTGTAGATCCAACATGCACAAAGTGTGAGGCTGAACTGGAGCTGAGTTTCTTATTTTATCCCATTTCTGGTGTTAAATTCCCATGTTTGTATGACCAAAGCTTTGTACCTAAAGTTTGGCTCTTCTTTATCAGGCTATATTTCTCTCATAGCTGCATCCTCTGCCTATCTTACCCTTTGTTATCAGTGCAGATGGGTAGGAGGGAAGTGGGACAGAGGACAGTGATTCACTCCTGGGGAGTCTGTGGCTGAGTCAGAGACCAAAGCTAAATCACCACAGGCTGTGACTCCTGGGCCGTTCTTGCAGCTCTCCCAATTTCCTGCTAGCTTAAGTACTTGTTGAATGTTGGACTCCCATCACCAGTGTGTCAAGGTCACTCTTCACAAGTTCTCTTGTCTGTTTTTTTTGCCATAGGCACGGTCCGAAATGGATAAGTACCTTTCAAACGAGGTGCCACCCATCCCAATGATCCCAGACAAGAAGTACCGCCGGGAGAGTGCCTCAGTGGTGGATGAGTTCTTCTCCACAGAGAAGCCCACTTCTACACCATACAGCGTGAACATCAATGTGATTCTGCCAGACACAACGCACCTGCGCACTGGACTTTACCGGCCACCCAAACCCATGACGCCATTCCCACAGATCAAAACAGAGCCTGGCACCAGCTTTGCCCAGCCCTGTTCTTCTGCATCCGGCTCCACACAGACCCTGCCCGACTTCACCAGTGTCTTCAGCATGCCCCAGTCAGTGGCAGTGAACAACATCTTCATCAAGCAGGAGATGCCCTCTGAGATCCCCTTATCCACCAATCTACAGCAATCCCAGCTTTACCAGATGCCTCTTGGCAATGGAAGCGCTGACATTACCACTCTGACATCCTCCTCCAACAGCACCACAGCCATCAATAGTCTCAGTGGTGTCACCATGTCCACAGGTAACACCATGTCCGGTGTGGTCCACAGACCTGTCCATCCAGGAGGGCCAGTAAAGCAGTACCCCCATGTCTCCCAGGGACAGGGAAACTTCAACATCTCAGGGCAGTTCTATGCTGTTCCAGGGGTGAACCTGCCTCCTTCACCCCCCAACTCACAGCCCGGCAGCCCAGAAAATCAACCTGAGCTCATCAACACCATCTCTCCCCCACCATCCTATGAAGCCACTTTTGGACTGAAGTTGGTCCAGTCATCCCAGGTCCCCCCAGTCCCCAATGGCCTTGGGACCCTCTCCCAAGGGCACATTGTCATGCAGCCCCCCAAATACAACAGACGCAACAACCCTGAGCTGGAGAAAAGGAGAATCCATCACTGCGATTACCCAGGTATGCTCATGGTTGATGTATTGGGTTGGCTTTGGCGGGGTTCTCTTCTTGACACACTGAGGTTGGGGGCTGCCTTGGGCCTCCGCAGGAGTTTAATCCAAAATCACTTTGTCTGTCTGCATGATGAAGGGAGCTATGGAGCTGGGTGGAGAGCCCCAGGGAAGTGGGGTTTCTAGCACCACCAAGAGAGTAGAAGAGGTTGATCCTGCCTGCACTAGCTGATGCCTTTTTTTTTTTCCTCCCCTTCCCTTTCTGCTTCACGCTCTGGCAAAAGCAAGCCTGATTCCAAGAGGCAGACAGGTCCTGCAAAGCACGGGAATCCTCCTGGAAATCTGCTGCCTTAGCTGCCTGTTTTGTTCAGGGCTTGCCTAACCTTGAGCAGCTCTCCACAGGTGAAACCATGCTGGCTTTCTCACTGACCTTTCTGTTCCCACTCTCCCGTAATGAGTGGCAAACCACTGAGTAATTTCCATAAGCAACCTTTACAGTCTCTGTTCTCCTCTTCCAAAGAGGTAATGAGATGAATATCTCTGTGTCATATCCTTCAGTGGCTTCACGTACTGCATCAGGATGGTGTGGAAATGTGTTTCAGGGTAATGATCAGCCCAGAGCTGAAGCTGTTCCCTGTGTGTCACCTCATTGCCTGAGCATGTCCATCTAAAGACCTGTGATGCCTCGTCAGGAGGAGGTCTTGTAGGGTTTCCTGCACTGGGCACAGAGAGGCTGTGGGGCCCACAGCTGCAAAGTCTCATTCATGCCCCATGGGAGAGAGAAACAGTTGCCTCCCCAGGGAGAAACCCCAGTGAAGGCAGTGTGAGGACTTGAAAATCAGCAGTCCTTGCACAGTGACACACACCTCCCACTTCCTGGGCTGAGCCCCAGCCATCAAGCTATTGGGGATTAGCAAACAGTTTTCCCATGGGTGTGTGTGAACTGAGGAAAGTCACTTCCTAACTGCCTCCTGCAAGATTTATGTGCTCTTTCCGTGGCACAAGAGTAGCTGTAGTAGGTCAGCCCAGAGGCCCGTCTAGCCCAGATCCTGCCTCCAGCAGTGACCCGAGGAAGTATATAAGAATAGGACATGTTTAGAGAGATCTTTCTGTGCTCACACCTTCCCACCCTCTGGCAACTTGCAGATTAGGGACTTTCTGAGCCAGAAGCTGCACCCATGTTCTTGTGGTTAACCGCTTGTGCTGAATTTTTTACCTGCTGCTGGTCACGGTGGGAGAGAGACTAAGGGTGTAAGTAGACCACTGCTCTGAGACAGACCCCTCCGCTCTTGTCAGAACCGCTCAGAGCAAGAGTCTGATCCTGTGGGACACATTACCAAGGCAAAGCTCGCCTGTTTTCAGCACGGTTTTGGCCTGCATAGGAAAGCAGGAACACATCTGTGGTGAAAAAAAAACAAAACAAACAACCTGTGCTGAATAAACACCGGGTGGCTCGATAGTGTGTATGTGCAGAGCCAATGGAGAGCTTCTTCTAATCCTTCACGCTGAGGTTCAGCTAGAGGTGAAACCAGTCAGGACTGATGGCAGGGGCAGCAGGTCTTACTGACGTGGTCTGCGTGAGGAAGCGACAGGAGGCATGCTGAATTCACACCGGTAACTGGATGAACAGGGGAGACCTGTTTGCAAAGCCCTGATCCAAGTTTCCAGGTTGTGGCCCCAGCACTTTTTCCTCTGTGTGCTCTCATGGGGAAGTGAAGCTCAGCCATGCCCTGCTCCGGCTTCTCTCTGCTGCTCCCTCTGGGTTTGAGGACTGCTCTGGGTGCTCGGCTGGCTTTGTTTCCATGCCCTGCAGTCCTTGGTCTCACGTAGACTCATCTCCCTCCGGAGTGTGAGTGACCTCCGAGGCTTCAGACCATCAGAAGCAAAACTGAACTGTGCCACCAACCCTTATCCCTCCTACCACGGGGAGGGGAAAGACAGCCAACTGCTCCTGCACCTCCTGAGCAGGACGGAGCGGAGAGCTGCTCTCATGCAAGAGGCTTCTTCAGGCTATGTGGAAACACTGGAACAAAAAACACGACTATGTTGCTTATGCAGGTCATCAAAAAATCAAATTAATATTTTTAATATACTTGTCAAAACACAATGAAGCCGGGCCACAAAGGCAGCATGAGAAGCCTTCTGAAGCTTTCTCTAGCTGAAACAAGGGCCTAGCAAGGATTCATTTTGAGATGCCTGTTGTTGAAACATTTGCCAAAGTCATGGTATTTCTGTTCAGAACCTTTCTTTGATTAAACCTGTTGTCGCTGATCTGAGAAAACTTCCCACTGGCTTTACTCTGGATCTTGAAAGCCAAGCTGTGGCTCCACAGTGTACCTGCCATTTCCTGCTTCCTGGAACATTTTTACCACATCTGCCAGGGCTGGGACTATTACAAAACACATCTTCCCTCCAGCCTTGCAGCAGTGATATCAGCTACGTCTGGAATCCAGAAAGACAGATGGCAGCACAAAGCCAGCAGCTCACGGTGGTGAATTTAACGTTTTCATCCTGTCTGGAAGATCTGGTTGAGGAAGGAGGGGTTTGAAAGTCTGTGCCTGACTCTTCTGCCCCTGCCCTTAATTCCCAGCGCAATGCCCATGGGTGTCAGGATTGTGTGGCAAAGGATGGAGTGTTGTAAAGGTCTGTCTGTCTTGGAGAACAGATGCTCTTTAGTTACTGCTGAAACAAAATGGGTATAGCCAGGCTTATTTGCATACCGTTACTCAGAGTGCTTTTCAGTCCTGCTCTGTCCCTAACCTGAAATATAAATGTTCTGGATCTGTTTGAGCCAGGGCCCGTTTCTCACAGGGAAGTTGTGTCTTTTCTGTTTTTGCAGGTTGCTCAAAAGTTTATACCAAGAGCTCCCATCTGAAGGCACATCAGAGGACTCACACAGGTAAGAGCAACACATCATCAGGAAACTCTGCCAGCCAATACCGTGCCTGTTAATGGCGGTGATAATGTAGCTGAGCTGATTACCTTAATCTAGGGTGGTTACTGGGGTAGGGAGCACAGTTAAGTCTGCTGATGTTAATGTTAAAAAAAGTCCAATGGTTGCACTGGTTATAGTGACTGTATGCTGCTGTGTGCACTTTCTTGCCTTCTGGAGGGATGGTCTAGAATTTAGGAGAAGTCTTGGAGACTCTTGAGTTGATGGATTGGGTGGAGGAGGTGCCCTCAAAACCTCTATCACTCTGAGCTCTTCTTTTGAGATCTCCCAAATCCTAGCCAGGTCTGATCCTGCTTAGCCTACAGAAATACCTATATATGACATATATATATCTATGTCTATATATACCAGCCATGCAGACCACTTGCACCCAGTGCTTGTGCTCTTAGCAGCTGCCAGTGGTACATCACTGGAGCTGCTGAATACACATATGGAAGGGCTCTGAATACAGGTAAAGAAGGGCTGTGCCCTCATTCTCAAGGGCAAGGGTGCTGTGGGCTGCCCTTGCTGGTGTAAATGGGGTCACTAGCATAGAGGAGCTCCCACCACAACCAGCTTCCCATGGGTAAACCTAGCTCAGTGGCACATGTGCATTCAAGCACAGGTCTTCTCATTAAGGCATTTATTATACCTCAAACTTTATCAGATCCCCAGGTAGTCCAGGAACCATCAGTGCCCTCATAAATCTCTTTTATAGAAGGACTGATCTTTACTGAAAGCAATTAAGCTGGCCCAGAGTTCACTTTTCTTTTTTATTAGCAACGAACAAAACCCATCCTGAGGCTGGGAATCAGTTCTTGCACTTGGCTCTGTTCCGTTTTCATCTTATCAGTCCTTCAAACAAGCCAGCATAGAATTTTTCTTTGTGCATGAGGTACAGTATTTTTTGGCAGGGCCTGGGCAGGAGCAGGCTGGAGAATAACACGGAAGGGGTGGAAGAAAGGAACAGGAAGGACATTGTCCCGGCTCCGAGAGTTGGGTGGTGATAAGCGTTTGTCACAACAGCAGTCTGTTATTCAGGGCTACGGCAGGGCTCTCACTTTAAAATTAAATTATCTCTTTTCCCCTTCTGTTCAGAACATGGGTCTTAGCTCTGTGCCCAGAGACACGACCCATCTAAGACAGGCACCGTCCTTACAAGTCACAATATAAAGATGTATCCAGGCAAACTTGGGCAGTTTTTGAATGCAATAAAATGCAGTCATTTTTTCAGTTTTCCCAGTAATTGGGCTGGAAATCCAAGTGTGTTTGCCTCCTTCCATGTCACTTGCTGTAAGAGGGAAGGGCAGAGAGGCAAAGGAGGCTGTGACCTGAGTAGTCAAGAAAACTGTTAGTGTTGTGGGGTGGGTAAAAAGAAGGGAATCCAAACCAGAGAGCCATACACAGGCAGGCTCAGAGTGTCTGTGTCTGAATTTTGAAGCCTCGTGTTTTGCTTTTGAGGCCTCAGCCTCACTGAGCACAGAACCGAAGCTGCAGCGGAGGGGCCTGTCCCAACTCCTGCCAGCTAAGTACGCTCGATGCCGCTTCAGCTCCATTACTTGAAGGGTTAATAATGCCCTTTCTCTCGATTCTTTGCTTGATGGCAGCTGAGCTGAGAAGTACATGATCTCTAAGATCTTTTCTTGTGGTTTGCCCGTTGCTATGGGCTGGCGCTGTATTCATCTCTCCTGGAGACACCATTCATTTCCTGGGTGCCATTGTGAGATTAAATATATAACCCGGTGGCTGCTCACCCGCCTCCCGGGGGCTGGGAATGCCAGTTTGGGTCCTTTGTTTGAGCTTGCCCTGCCGTGCTGTCCTGGGAGATGGAGCCAGCTCGTGGGACAATGGAAAGCATTTTGTTTCTATCCTGGAGATCAACCTGTTATTGTTTGAAACTAAAGGGCCTTGGTGGGGTTGACCCAGCCAGGTGACCTGGCTGGGACAATGTCTGTGGCCACGCAGTGCAAATCCCGCCTTTGTCTTAGCTAACACAAATGCTGACAAACCCCCGAGATCCTCAGCGTGCCGTAAGATATCCAGCATGCTGCTTGTAAATTGGCTTTAAGTTCTGTATTTACCTGAGCCATAAAAATACACCTATCTCCTCGCCGTGGTACAGACCCCAGGGCCTTTTTGGGGAGCAGGATGTGGTCTTGGTGCCCAGTCTCCTCCAGGTTCAGGTGTCTGTGCTTTCATATTTTGTCCGATACGTGCAAGACACCATAGATCTTGCTGCAGCTGAATGTTTTCTGTTTCCTGGCCAAATCCACCACCTGCCTAGCACACAGGCTGCGGGGAGGAACGTCCGTTCACTGGGAAACATGTCGGAGCATGACACACATGCCTGTGCATGCATCCTGCATGTGTACGTGCATTCATGCCGTGATGGTGCGCTCGGCAATTGGCTGATGAAATGGTAAATATTTGAGGTCGGGAAAGTCAGCACATTCCCTGAACTCTGCCTGCTTGTTCAGGCTGTTAAGAGCGAGGGCTAATATTTGAGAGCACCACACCCATGCGTGGAGAGGGCTGCAGCCAGGGTTCAGCTCTACAACCTGGGCACGCAGGGAGTTGGAAGCGGGCATGGGCTTTTCCAGCCCAGTTCCCAGCTGGCTGAGAAGTTGCACAATGTAATTCATTTCAGTTTGGGAATAGGTGTGTACGGGCCGGAGCGGGGAGAGGGCAGAGGCATTACGTCACCCAAGTGCTCTGAAGAAAACACAATGATTTGTGTGCGGAGAGCTGCTGCAGGGCTGGATTTTGAGACAGAGAGCGTTAGATGGTGGTTTCAAAGATGTGAGACTTTGAGGAAAATTTACATAACCCCCTGCTTCCTCCTGATGCCCCCCACACCAGTATGAGCAACAGCACCTTCCATAGGAATTTTTGGCTTTTTAGTTAGAAAAAAAAAACCCCAAACAACCAACCCTCAGAAAATTTTTTTGCTAGAAATGCTCCAAAATCCAACAGGAACTTGAACAGCACTAAAAACCAAACCTAGAAAGCAGAGCAGGGCGGGGCACATGGACAGGACCTGGTTACTGCAGCTCAACGATTTACGGTCCCTTGGTAGCTATGGGCTGTGTACAGCAAGTGAACCCTGGTAGCGTAAAGCGTCAACGTGGCCACGAGCCCTGTTCTGCAGCGGGGCAGCCCCAGATGCCCTCCAGGGCCTCCCAAGAAGGACGGACATCGCTGAGAGGATGGGGCGGGTGTTTGGGAGGCCGGGCAGACGTGTGTCCGCATAGGCTCTTGCGTGGCGGCGCCATGCTGTGCCTGTGACCTGTGGCTCTTCCCTACAGGTGAGAAACCCTATAAATGCACATGGGAAGGCTGCGACTGGCGCTTTGCCCGTTCCGACGAGCTGACCCGGCACTATCGGAAGCACACGGGTGCCAAGCCCTTCAAGTGCCTAGCCTGCGGCCGGTGCTTCTCCCGCTCCGACCATCTGGCTCTCCACATGAAGCGGCACCAGAACTAGGAGCCGCCTACATTCATCACTTCTCCAGGAGCAGCTGAAACTCTTTTATTTCCCAAGGAGCCTCTCCTCTTCTTGTACGTAGGAACAAACCCATGCTGTGATCAACCGGCAGGGCAGGGGTGGCAGGCAAGCCCCCTCTGCAAACCCTGTACCCAACTGTTTCTGGTTTTAAAAGAAATCTCATTAAAAGAGTTATAATTACAGACTGATCTTGTGACGAGGCTCCCGGCGGCACCGGGGTGATGGACCTTGGATTCCAAAGGGCTTTCTTCCAGCAAACCTGCTATTTATTTGTCACTCGGGAGCAACTGTCCTTTGTGTCTCAAGTTCTTCGGGAGTTTTTTACCCCTTTCAGGGTGGTGCCTTTGGTGAGCCCCAGGAGGGTTGTGATGGGTTGGTAGCCTGGCTGTGCGTGAGAGGTCTCACTTCAAGCTGCCGGTGCAATCCTCTTGGACTGCCCCATGGCGTGGCTGTGGATGTGGCACCTCTGACGTGTGAGAACATGACAACCCCAGTCTCTGTGGGGGCATAGAAGAAAGGGCCTAAGACATATGCACCTGACGTGCCTTCAAGCAAGGGACAGCACAAAAGCAGATGACAAAGCCATCATCTGTGTCCCGTTGAGCCCACTTGTGGTTTCCTGGCAGCCAGCTCACTTGGGGCTGCGAATATCTGCCCTGCTTGGCCAGGTTTTTTGGTTGTGTCCTTAGCATTTCTGCTTCCAAGGTGAATATTGACTTCAGGTGTCTCTGGGAGGACCAGCGTGGGTCTTGAAGCCACCAGGGGACTGGAAAAAAGCCACTGATAAGGCTCTGGTTTCCCGGAATACACTGTGCCTTTCTCCAACAGCACTGGGCAGACTCTGCTCGTGCCTTGAACGCACACACAAGGAATCACTCATTGCCAATCACACCAGTCCTTTGCTGTTGCTATTTCATCACGTTCAGACAGAAAAGAAAAAAAGAAAAAAGCATCTTTGAAACAAATTCCAATAAATCCTGCTTTTTAGATTGTAATCATGTTACCTACCTCACAGGTTCACCGCCCTGGGCTCCGTGAGGCACCTTCCCTCTTCTTCTGTGGGGTGCCGTGGTGCGTGGGGCACATCAGCCATTCTTCAAAGTCTTAAGGGGTTAAAGTTAGGCAGAACAAGAACCAGGCCATGCCAGTTTAAACAGCAGCTGTGCAGGTAATAAATAAATCAGGAACAAATAATGGCCTGGTGTGTTCAACAGAATATTGATTTCCTCCACCCTGTCCTCCTGTTCTCCCTCGAACAAATTTAAGTAGCGTGCAGACTGATGCGCATCGGCAGCGTGAACTGAAAGGCCACGCTGAACCACGGCATCTTCAGGCAGTGGAAATTTGAAGGCCACCCCTTTTTTGCTATTGCCCAACCACACATTAGTCAAAAAATGCAGCTGGGTTCTTGGTCGCCCTTTGACTTGGATGAATAAAACTGATCACACCTGCAGTGCACGATGCTGGCCTGGCGTGGCAGGAAGGAGTTGTGGGGAGTGCATGGTGTGGTGTAGGCTTTGGGATGGATGATGTGCCCGGGGCTGGTGGTGCAGCACTGCAGTGAGCCCTTCGTGTGGCTCTTTGGTAAGAAGCCTCCTCCTTTCTCCATGCCACCAGGGAGGGTGGGAGTAGAGGGGTGAAGTCAGGCCACCGAAATGCTGGGAGCCGCCTTGGGCGACTTTCCCCAACGGTGCGTGGGAAGGACTTTCCAGACCTCAGCACTAGGGCTGGAGGGTTTGATGATGGCACCCTCTTCACATCGTGTTCAAGTGAGGATTGGAGAGTCTGGGTCATAAATAGGCTTTTGCAACCACGTGTATGTCCTCCACGTCCTTTTTCCAACTCTTTCATCGCTTGACATCACAGCTCGCTGGGGATTGGTGGGTGCTGGAGCAAATGGGCTCATTTGCCATCTACCTTGTTGGCTGTGGGTCTGGCTCCTCTTCAGGGAACGGAGCAGGACCTTGCCAATGCCACCACTGTGTTGTGGGATCCTTCTTTTTCCCACCTCACCTTGAAGTTGGGTTGAGCCACACGAGCAAGTAGGGCATGCAGTGCCATCTCCCCCCAAAAATGGGGGGTAGGAGTGGGGCACAGCCTGAAGCCTCTGTGCAGGGGACAGTTTTACCTGTTGCTTCTGTTTAGAGGTGGGTCTGGAGAGGCTCAGGGCAGGTCTCTGATTATGGAAAAACCCCTTGGAGAGCGGCGGTGGTGCAGGGTGTAGGAGTGTGCGTGTCTGCCGGTACGGGCGGGTTGAGCTCACACCAAAGGAATTTCAAAGTAATGTGGAGATGCCTCAGCCAGTCCCCGCCGGTGTCTCCAGGAAGCTCAGGCTGGCTCGATGGGGCTGGTGGGGACCCAGCATGGCTGTGCTGGGACCTGCTGGGCTCCACCCTGCTCCGCTGGCGCCCGTTCAGCTCCTCGATGGGTGAGCCCTGGCATGGCAAGCCTGCGGCACTGCCGTGCCCGTGCCCCCTCCGGGAGCCGGCAGCCCCCACGGCTGTAACTGCAACCTCCCCGCAGGAAGACATTTTTTTGGTGCATCTGTTGTGGTTGAACCTCCTAAATGTGAGAGCCAAATTACAAGGCACAGGGTTGACCAATGCACTGCGGGTGCCACCGGGCTGGTGGTGCGGTTAGCCCTCACCCGTGACCCTCTCAGAGGGATCCCATTGCCCCCCCTCTTTTTTTGGAGAAGGAAACCTCCGCCCCTCTCCTGTTCCATCTCTCCCTGCCCTGCTGTGCTGATGGGGCCCTTTGCTGAAATCCCCTTTCCTGAAAAACAGTACAAAGCCAAAACAACCAACAAGCAGCTTTAAATCTTAGGGGAATTTTAAATGTTTTTTTTTCACTACAGAAAAAAATGCATCTGCTCATCCTCACATAGTCTATGTGTGTGTGTATGTATATTTCTTTTTATTTTATTTTTTTTTTAAATTTGATGTGGGGGCAGAGGAAGAAGTGTCTTAACAAAAAACCCACCCCAATCCAGTGCTGCTTCCCAAGCAGCACCGCTGGTCTGCATGGAAAATGCTGACATGCAAATGCTCTACTAGTGCAAAGGCAACACTTTAAAAAAAAACCAACAAAAACAAGTCCGAAAGAAAACCACGGCAAGCCTTGGCTTTTATGTCTCTTATTTTTGTGTGTACAGAAGTGGACAGCCTCGAGCCTTGCGTTTCATTGCGTGGCCGAGGGCAGCTATTCCCCGGGAGAAGGGGAGTGATGCTGACGGAGCAAAGCCCGTCTTTGCTGCGGGAGGGACGGCTCGGAGCCGAGCGACATAGCTGGGGTGTGCGAACCCCACCTGAATGAAGGTCCCTCCCGTCCCTGGTCCCCCGGGACACTTAGGTGACGGGGACATTGGAAAAGGTTTGCAAGCCCAGGAGGCTTTGCAAGCCCGTGCTTGGTGCAGAACAAACGTTAGTCCGGCGGGCGCCTCGGCTCTGCCGTGCCTTGTATCATAGCAGGGAAAAAAAATAATCGCTGTAAATAAGAAAAGAGCACTGTATCTCTTCGCGGGTCTGCGTGGATCGAACGTGATCGTTTACTGTCTGAGATGAACACAATGTGAAAAAAAAAAAAATTGGGACCTGGAAAACTTGGGTGGAAGGTTTATTTTTCCGGTGATGCTTTTGTTTGTTACATAACCCTTCTCCCCCTCCCCAAAACTCCCCTGCAACTATTAATCTATCTCATATTTTGTAATAAAATTTTATCACGTGGAGACGTGGTCGTTCTTCTGTTCCCTCCCATTGCAAATGCTCTTTTTGCCTTTACCTGCTGCTGCCTGTGCATGTGTTGATTTTACAGGCTTAAGAAAAAGGGGAAAAAAAAAAAAAGCTTTTTTCTTAGGTTGGATTAGGAAGAATGGGTATCGGAGCAGGGGAAGGGTCTGTGCACGGTGTAAGCCTGGAGCCCTGGGCAACGCTGTTGGTGTTGTTACGTGGCCTAAGCTGACGCTTCGGAGGAATGGCGAGCCCTTTCTCAAAGCGATGTTGCAATGCTGTGCAAAGAAAAAGGAGTGGCAGGGGACTTTTTTTTTTTTTTTAATCCCCTCTACCTTTACTACCACGTGCTCCCATTTTTTTGCCCTCTGAGGGGAGAAGGGGGCATCCGCAGGCCGCGCGGGTCGGGGGAGCAGGAGCGGAGCGGGAGCCTTCTCCTTCCCCGGGCTGGGCGGAGGGGATGAGAGAAGAGACGGGGGGGACACGGGGAAGTGCTGCGCCGGGGACGCGGCGTTCCAAATCGCCGTCTGTGTACTTTTGTGTGTATATACACACACATTTGTACATAGGCAAACAGCCGGCAGGGGTTCAGTGAGGGCTGTTGAGCTCATGCCTTTTGCATGCACGCACCCGCACGCGCATATGCCGACACCTACAAATACGCGCACATCTCTCTCTCTCTCTCTATATATATATAGATAGGCTGCACTGACGAGCTCTTTGCAAGCCGCTCCTGGCAGGATCCCATCGGCTTTCTCCAGCATCTTCTTTGTGACCGGCTTCCCGCGGTTGCCTCCTGGCCCCGTTACTCTTGCAGGATCACGAGTCATTCCACGCTAAAATCAACAACTCCCTATTGCTTTCCAAAGGTCTTGCATTTCAGCTACGTTTTTCATGAGGAAAATCCTCTTT